AGCAGTCCTGCAGTTGTGCAGTGGGTTGGACCAGATAACCATTGAGGTCCCTTCCAGCATTATGGTTCTGAATAAACAGTAAGAGCTACCACAAATTTTCCAAAACATCATAATGTCATAAAAGGCAACAACATGTACTGCATATTCTGTACTGCAGAATGGAAAATTCTAACAGCACTAACGTGTTTAGAGTGTATCCAAGGGAGTTAAGTCGCTGTATATTTTTTTTTTCAAGAAAGGTAAGATAAATCCAGTTGTGAGATGATAAATGTATCATAACTCAGATCTTAGGAGGCAATGCATTATGCAACACACAGCTTGATGAAAGAGTATACTCTAGTGGATACATTTGACACGCATTAAATGCCATATCTTTTTTTGTGTGGGTGGGAGTGCACTAAAAGCAAGTTAGTGATTAGAGTGGGTGTTATAGCTGTTTCAAGGCAGGCAGAAGGTAGGTGGTGTTGAATAAATCAATTAATTGAGTCAAAGGTGTTGGCACAAGAGAGTGACTCATTAAGCAGTTAAACAAGGTTTGGGGTTTGAATATAGAGGTGTTTACCTGCTTCACCCCACGGCAAGCAGTCGCCCCTAAAATCTGTTTAACCTTTTGCTGTAACACGTAGAAAAATAAATAAAACACCGTTCAGCCATATTAAATGTAAAGTATTAGGTGAGCTTTTTCAGTTAACAATATTACTTGCTTCCTTTTTCTCTAGAGAATTATTATAAGAAAATTCCTGTTTAGATAGAATTAGGAGAATAAAAGGACATGGATTGGAACTGGGTGGAGTTTCCGGTGCTATTGCTGTTGTTAAAATCCAGTCCTGCTTACCAAGCGAGCAAGAGGGGCTTTAATGATCTTGGAGCACTCTGATTAGTAGTCTCAGCAGCCAGTTGCAATGCTTACTGAAAAAACCAATCAGAGTGCTCCGCACACAGACAAACAGCCAGACCTAGGGGGGTGGGGGAGGGAAGGGTGGCAGTGTGGGGCTGGCTGCATGCAAGTTTCCCCTCCTGCTCCTGGGAGGCACCAGCGGTGCGGGCTGGTGGCACGCAGCACTCCATCCCTACCCCCCGCACCAATTATTCTTGATGGGCAATTCGCTAGTTTTATTTAAATGATTGAGGCACCGGTAGGCTTCCAAATTGCTTTAAAATTGTAAACATGTCAATGAAACATTGTGTTCAACTGATACTTACCTATATTGTGGCACTTCATTGTAATTGCAGAAAAATGCAGATCTTGGGGTTTATAACCAGAGAATTGGAAGGGGGGGGACGCAGAGGGGGGCTTGTGGCGGTTAATCAAAGTATTTATAATTTTTAAACAGAAAACCAGGAACCCTGGTGCTCAGGACCATGATCATTTTTAGAATGAAGATAAGTTTTTAGATTGTAGGAAAAAAATGGATTTGAAAGGTTCTGCAGAATTTGCTGACAGAATATTTGTTCTTATTGTCCCCCTCCAACTGCCTGACAAGTTCAGTGGATATATTACCGAGAGACTAGGAGAATTTTGGTTTCCATGTTTGAGATCAGAAAGCCTTGGAGTCTAAAGCACAATTCCTGAAGTGGTGGTTGAGAATTGTGATCTCTGAAGTCAAGAACTTGGAGGAAAGATGAATCTGTCTAAAGAGTGGCAGTTCATTTTGTTTGGAGGGTTAAAGGTGTCAGCAGAAAAAGTAGACATTTTGTATGTGTTAGTGTTATTTTTATAAATGCGTTTTTTCTTATGTTATGCTTTGTTTTTTACTGTTACGATTTAAATAGTACTTTGCTAAGAGTTCCTATATTTTTATTTAATTAAACGATTTAGAAGTTGCTAAAGCTAAAAAGGGCTCAAGGGTGCAGAGGAACAGGAGGGGTACAGAGGTGGCAGCAGCTATGGCTCTGGCCCTGACCCAGGATTAGAGCTGGAACCAGAGCTGCAATAGCTGCCTGCCTCCCACTATGCCTCATACATGAATCCAAGATGAGGAGCTCTTTTCCCCATGTTACATGGGGGGAGGGGATTCATCTTGGAATCTATTAAATATGGCATATATTCTTAAACACAGTAGGTTCATGTTGACAGAATGTTCAATTTTGTATTCCATATGTCATATGACAGAAATCTAGAAATAGTCTAAACTGTCATCTACTTCTAGCAAACATTTTAAAAAAGGTGTTGTTTCTGCCCCAGATTTTCAAAGTGGTATATTTATTAGGGCAGTTCATTCTAATTTGAATCATAACCTAAATTCAACAAGAGCAGGTGAAATTATTAGAGCCCAACATTTAGTTATTCCAATATTTACACACCAACAGGTCTGGTTAAGCTCAGAAGTGCATTCCAGTGCCACACTCAGTCAAAAGTGAAACAATGCTATGAAAATATTCTGGTGTGCTACCTCCTATGCTGAAGAGCAAAGATCATTTTGTACCTGCAGTGGATGGATGGCTAAGTGAAACAGTGACAATCACTAAAATAAAAAAAGGGAGTACAAATTACTTTGATATTTCAGAAGACATTTGCGTGGCACTTTGCTAAACCTTCCAGTATGTCTTGGTAGGCATACCGGACCATGCAGAAAAGTGAGGCGATCCAGTTATCTAAAATTAATCAGTTTTATTATTCCCCTATTCATAGACTGCTCAGAATTGATGCCATGATTCATTATGAATCCTGTGAAATAAGCAACCATTTTCTTTAATCTTGTTCAGACATCAATAATGTCCCCAAATCCACACCTATATGCTCTTGTGAAAGAACAGGCAATAGTCCTGGCCAAAACTGTAGAAGAAAAATCACCCGGTTGCTATCTCGATATGACAGAAGAGCAACGGAAAACCAATTTGGATCAAAAGAAGTCTCTTAAGTGAGTTAAGCCTCAAAAAAGAGCCTTCAAAAAGTGGAAACTTGGTTATAATACTAGGGAGGGGTATAAATAAAGTATGGGAGTATAGGGAAAAAATTAGGTAGAGCAAGGAACAATTTCATATGGAACTGGCAATGGACATAGGCAATAAAAAGGGATTCTGTAAGTATGTCAAAAGTATGAGGGGGACCTGAGAAACAATATGTCCTTTACAGAATGCAGAATCTAATTGGGGATATTGCAGAGAAAGCTGAAATATTGAATGCCATTTTTTTTACTTCACTTTTCACAAATAAGGTCAGCTACCAGACGATATGTGCAATTGACAGCAATGATAGGAAAGGAAACAGTCAACCTAGAGTAGAAGAACAAGTTAGGGCTTGCTTGAAGAAGGTGGATGCTTTGAAATGAGAAGGGCTGTATGGGATGCACCTTAGGGTACTAAAGGATTCAATGAGGTAATATTGGAGCCATTGGCTATTCTTCATGAAAACTAGCAGAGGTCAAGTGAGTTTCTGGATGATTGGAAAAGGGCAAATATAGTGCCCTTCTTTAAGAAAGGGATGAAGGAGGATACGGGGCATTATACACCAGTCAGAACTCAATACCTAGAAAGATCATAGACCAGGTCCTGAACAAATCCATTGTGAACCACCTAGAGGAAAACAAGATGATCGGGAACAGCCAACATGGATTTGCAAAGAAAAAAATCATACCTTAGCAAGCTGATTTCTTTCTATGATAAGATGATAGGCTCTGCAGATGGAAAGGGAACATTGGATGTGACAGGCCTTAACAGTCTCCTATGACATTCTCATTAACAGGCTAAAGAAGTACGGACTAGACAAAATTTAGGTAAATAAATGACTGACTGGGTCATTGTGTTAAGTGAATAGTTATCAATGGCTAGTTGGATGGAGGTCTCTACTGGAGTTCCCCAGGGATGTGTTTAATGTCTTTAGTAATGATTTGGGATTGAGTACACGCATAACGCATTTGAGAATGACACTAATTTGGGTAGAGTTGGAAACCTCTGGAGGGTAGGGCTGGGATCTAGAATGATCTGGATAAATTGGACAGCGCTCGTGAGGATTTACTTGGAGTACTGTGTCCGGTTTTGGGCTGCACACTTCAAGGATATGGATAAATGGGTAAGAGTCCAACACAGAGCCACAAAAATGATTAGAAGTATAGGAAGCATGACTTATGAGGAAAGGCTGAAAAGCTAGGGTTTTTTAGTTTGGAAAAGAGAAGACTGAGGGGGGGATTTGATAAGTCTTCAAATACCTGAAGGACAGTTTATAGAGTGGATAAAGATTGGCTTTTCTTTGCAGCTGTAGGGCACAGGACTAGGAGCAATGGCCTCAAGCTGAGGTAGAAGAAATTTAGGTTGGGAATTAGGAAGAACTTTCTGTCTCTGAGGGTTGTCAAGCATTTGGAACAGAATACTTATGGAAGCTCCATCACTAGAAATTTTCAAGAGCATGTTGGAGAGATACTTGATTAAGATAGTTTAGTCAGGGGTGATCTTGCCACGAGCAGGGAGCTCACCTAGATAGTCTGTAAGGTTCCTTTCAGCCCTACCGTTTCCTATGATCCTATGAAGTCTGTTCTTGGGTGGGTGTATATCCATATATAATATAAAAAAGATTTAATAAGAAAATGCATCGTTCCACATCACCAATTTCTTTTCCATTGGAAATCAACCTGCAAGGCCCCAAGCTCTAATACTGCTTGGTCTGGAGGCATTTCTATTGTAGCATGAACTGGCATAAGTTTTCATGTTTTTAAAAATCACTCCTTGTTGTATGTGTTCTCTTTCTGGTTTTGATTCTTCTCGCTAGTCACATACATGGCGTTATCTGCCCATAGTCCACAAAGAGCTGGGAGTTTCTGTGAGTTTGTGCAGTTCTTACTTTACTTGGGGCTCTTGACTCCAATTATTTAGTTCTCTGTGCTATTGCAAGACACCTTTTTTTAACATTATACATTTTTATCTATACTGTGGTTTCAAAATAGGCTACACTGTATTAGTACAGGTCACTTTTTATCATAATGCATTATATAGTTCCTTGGGTGTCAGTGCAGTAGTGTAGATAAAACTTAGGATGTGTTCAAAATATTTTCTAATTGTTTTCATTACATCTAGCAATTCATATTTTGCCTGTTATTTTGTGTATTAAGGGCATATCACCTGGTTCGGCTATGAAAGCCCTCGTAGCTTCTGGGACTACATTCGAGTTGCATGCCGTAAGGTATCACACAATTGCATCTGCAGCATTGAGAACATGGAGAATGTCAGTTCTTCTAGAGCCAAGGTAAGAAACAATATATTCAACATTTTTCTATATTACAATATTTACTGGATGTATGGTATGGGTTTTTATTTGATATTCCAGAAGATATTAATAGGTTTATCCTGTAAAATTCTTTACAACTTTTAAAATGACTATATATTTAAGAAGTATTGCCAGGCTTATAAAACATCTCTATGTAAATATCACAAATAAAATGGTACAACAGTGAGCTTATTTCTTTGCTTAAAAAATGAAGTACGATAATCCTCAAATCTCTCTATTGAACAGGGTTTTATGCTGTTACAGGATGATCCTCTTTATACTATCTAGCACACATGATTTTATTAAATGGAGTGAAATCATGCCTGCTGTGATTAATATTAATATTAAAATGGGATATTTGTGCTGTTTTATGTTCAGACTAATATACTTTGAGTAAATGATAACCAAATATCTACTGTCTCTTTAGTGGATATATAATTTATTCGTTAACAACTGCCCATATATTTTTTGGAACCATTCCTTGTGTTTTGGACCATGTCTGTGTCTGGTTTTCCGTTCATCAACAGTAATTTTTAGCAAGTGCAAAAGCAAATGTGTGATGCATTTCTTTGATTATTTCTGCCATGAAATCTTGAGTTGCCAAAGGATCATTAAGTAATACATGTCCAGCATTTTATAAAACCTGGTTATCAATGCCATCCTAATAATATATGATTGCACTTGTCCATTATATTTTCTATAAATTCTCACCATATTTTCACCAATATGTATTGCTGTTCAGTATATATGTGTTTTTAAGCTGACTGGTGTAAAGTAACATATCCTCCGTTCATTGTACTACAGACAGTTGTAAGCCCTCTTTTCCAAGCATTCCTCTACAACGAACACTTCAGGAAACTGTATGCAAAAATAGATATGAACTACTGTTATAGTGGTTGTTTCCTAAATAACCAGAAGTCATTGTTTCTATCCAAGTTTAGCTTTCTCTGTAAAACTGATTTTCTGGAAAAGACAAAAAATGTTATATCTGACTTTGAAGGAGTAATCCAATGGGCAAGTGAGCTAAGTAAAGTTTAGATTTGATTGTTAAATAAACTGGAAAATCTTCTTGGAATAGCTCGCCAAATGCTTGCATTCCTCAACTTTTCTGGTCTTGAAAATGCACTGCTTTTTTATTTTAATCAAAATAGTTTTCGCAGTGGTTGTCACATGTGGAAGAAAAAAAACCCTGTTCTATCCCAAAGCTTTGCAATAACCTTTCATAAATAAAGTGAGTGGTTTTTTTTGTTTTTTTGAGAGCATGACTCATTAATTCATGATAACCTAGCATATTTACAGCATAACCATATTTCTTATTTAGTAAAGAGTTGCTGCTTGCACCGCATTAAAATACCCCTCAAACCACTGTTGATTTGAAATGGCTGTTTTGATGGGGCTTATAATGTTTGGAACAGCTAGTGTACTGTGTTAAATGAGTCTTTGCAATTTAACTATACTGAGTCCTGATCAATATTATTCTGTATAAGTTATCTTCTGAATTTTGTATAAAAACATTTTCTGTGTTTTTAAATGGTGGAGTTTTTATCTCTGGGTATGGACAAACATACATTTGAAGTACTCCAAATCCTGATCCAATTAGCAGCCTTCAAATTTGGAGTGCTTCAGCTCCATGCAGCTCCTGAGCCTCTGGAATGCATCAAAATGGCTATGAAGACATACAGGAGCAGTGTCATCCACCCCCCTGACTGGAGCCTTTCATGCCTCTGAAGGTACCCAAAGACAGCTCAGCACATGAGAGCAAGCATCTTCACTGGTTCTCTGCCTCACTCTTCTCTTCTTCCTTCTCTGCCTCCCTCCCCCCCCCTCCCCAGTATAGTAGTTTGACATTTTAAACTGCACAACTTCTCTAGGTTGTTTGAGATGAAGATGAATCAGAATTTTATAGAATATGTTGCTTATGTATACATAAATATTTTCTGGAGGATTGACTTCTCGAAGTCTTGAAAACTTATTGCTAGCGTTTGAAGCATGGCATAATGTATCTTAAAGCTAAGTGTTTTCTGCATTCTTGGATTTCCTTAGATGTTTATTTAAGGGGAATGTTTGGATTGGATAAAAATATAGCCTTTATGCTAATGACAGCTTTTTGATATGGCAAATTTTTTGCTCCTGTGACTTTTAAATTATTTATGCCTTATTTATGCAAAAGGATCCTGGGATATCGTGAAAAATAAAAATGACAGTTCACACTCCTGGCTAGTTTTCCTGTTTAATTTAGATGAGGGACATTTAACTTGCATGGCTCCTTTTTTGGCTGGCATAAAAAACAGACACTTAAGTGACTAATGGCAAATGTTTGAAGTCTTGTCCAATATGAACAAAGTTCCTCTGTATTCCATCAATATATTTCTCTACATCAAATGACAACAAAAATGTATCTTTCTCTTGACTTGATATTTTATTATCCTTAATGAATGCAGTTCATATAAATTGAGATAATGGACTATAATCTGATCTAGCATTTTTGCTAGAAATTTTGTCATGGGGGAAAGAGCTGCATATACTTTTTAATTTTTAGTAAGAAGACGATTTGCCATGTTAAATTAGGGATAGTTTTGCTGGACGTTGGAAGTCATGATGGTCTGCTTAAATAATGTAACATTATGATTACTGTAAATACACTGTTTGAAATACGGTGTCTTTTGAATTATGACTGCATTAAACACGCAGTGTTTAAGTTAGTTTGCTTAACTATAAAAAGCATGTCCAAATGCCCAGCAGTCGGTCAAAGTTCTTTAGCACATTTATTCTAGAAGTAAGGACTTACTGTGCACATTTTTCAACTCTTTCTAGAGGTGTATGAAATCGGAGATTGTTGACAACTGTAATGATTCACATACTACTTCCAACTTACTTTGCCACAGTATTAAGAATCTTGATGTATGATCTAAACTGTGCACTTTCTAATTCATTAATGCGGGTTAGAGGCATGTGTTTGATATATACTTGGCTGGTAGCAGTGAATTATGAATTTAATTTTTAATTAGAAAATGTATGGGCTGCATTTCTAGCTATTTATGAAAAATAAAAATTATTAACAGTTTTATACATGGGCAGACCCATATTATATTATAAATATAGGTAAAAATACCAATATATCGACAAGCTGAGGTGAAATATAATAGTGTTGGAAAGGTGCACTACAATACGTGGAGAGTCTTAGAATTTTCAAATCTGTTTGCACTGTCAGATTTAAACACTTCTGTGACATACACTATATATAAATATTAAGAGTAGAAAATATGTTTGTGTTGTCTTACAAGAGCATTCAACTAAGAACCTTTAGCCTAAGTAATACGTAGGCCCCTCTCTTCCTCTGTATGCCTGCATCTACAGGCATATCGCATGTAAAAGTAAAGATTCTTGATTCACAGTTCTCATTTCAATGCCCCTATAAAATGACACAAACACGTTCTCTACTTTTTTTCCCTCCTTATCCCTCTAGCAGGCAACACATTTATATTTTTAATGGCTTTTCTCCTCCAGCTGTATGGGTCTCCTTTCCAGAAATACAAATGAAAAGTGCTTCATTTTACTTAGTTTAAGATTTTTAATGTTATTTGTTCCTCCTCTTAGGGCAGAGCCTGGATCAGAGTAGCGCTTATGGAAAAACATTTGTCTGAATACATTTCTACAGCTCTGAGAGACTTCAAAACAACCAGGTGTTCTAATGTTTAACTTTTTTTTAATGTTAAAACTTTAAAATGTTGCTTCAGCAAGGGATTTGGGTCTGGGAGTGAACTTGCCATTTAATCAAAAATCATAAGCGATAAATAGTTCTGTGCTTGCATACTAATCTAGAGACTGATATTTGTTTGTTAGCATTTGCCATAATTGGAAACTTCTGTGTCCCTCTCTGATTTATAAAAGCTGTTGAAGCTTTGTTGGAAGTTGTGTAAATTACATTTTTGAAGAGAGAAATTGTTTCAACTTCCAGGGACACTTATACTAGTCCCACTGCTGCAGGTTCGCTAGTGAATAAAAGAAATCAAATAGCCTTTATTGCCTGATGGTTGGTCAGACAGTGCATCTTTATACATGCATTCTTCATCATAGACTGGTGTATGTATAATCATAGCTGGATATTATTCCTTCCTATTGGGTATCAGTGCATTACCATTCTAATCTGCTCTGTTGTTCCCTTAACTATCTTATCAACTGTCAAGTTATTCGGGAAGCTGCACCTTGATTAAGGCAATGCTGAATAGAGGGAATTTACAATCAATTTTTAACAACTTGACTTTGATACCTCTCAGTCCTTCAAGGGTTTTCATCAGGTTCCCTGTTACATTTCCAAGGAGGGTCTGACAGTCGGAGGAGATACTGCACTACCTCTGAAAGACTAGTTCTGGCAACACAGGATATAATTTATGCTTCCAGCTCCTGGGAACCCAGAGCAGGCATTTCCTTTCTTGTTATATGGTCCACAAACATAGCAGCCCCAGATGCTCCATTGTCTCTGGCATTGGTACCATCATAGAGGGAGTATCTGGCTACAGTGATTGTACCCTATTCCCATATGTCACTAGAGCAGGGGCTATTTGAAGGACACCACTGATTTTTTTAAAAATTTTTTTCAAGAAACAAGATTGCATTGACAGGCTTCTAGTAAACATCCTATTAGCCACCATGAATGTCACTCCTCTATACCATCATACCATACTTCCTCCCCCCTGCCCCCCCGACCTTGAAGTCCACTTGTTTTTTCTAGTATACCTAAGGGACACTTTTGTGTGGACATATGAGAAGGAATCTCTAGACAGTTTCCACCAGGACTTTAACAACTTTCACCCCTCCATTAAACTGACTCTGAAATACTCCACCCGACATATTCATGTTTTGGACACCTTTGCGAAACTTTGCACTCACCACATGACCACCACATTGTATTGTAAATTAACCAACTTCTACAGCTACTTCCATGTTACCACATGTCTAAGCACATCACTAGATCCAGCATCTACACAGTCGCATTCTTCGTTACAACCGGATTTGCGCTGATCTTACTGACCAGGATGCACACATTTAGGAATGTGAACAGGGATTTCTACACTTCCAATCCACAAATCACAGCACTTGAATCGAGAGGCAGACTCAGCCCTCACCCTGATCTGTTACAATACCAACCCTGTCACAAAAAGAACAAAATCTCTTCAGCTTGAACACCTTGGACACATTTACTAATGACATGCAGCCTCTCAAGGAAAATGATGATCATCTCAAGATAGCTGTGGGGATGAGCCTGTTCTGGTTTATAGGCAGTCTCCCAATTTCAAACAGTCTCTCTCCAGCATCAGATTGCTGAACTCCAGTTTTTACTAAGGCATCAGGCCTTGTTCCAGACCCCAGTGCCAACTGTGCCCCCTCATCAACAGAGACCACAATCACCTAGACTGCAAAAATATCCAGCACACCTACTGGCTGGGAAGTGACCCTCTCAGCAGCACAGAAGCAGAAAGGGATCTTGGAGTCATAGTGGACTCCAAGATGAACATGAGTCATCAGTGTGACAAAATCATAAGCAAAGCTAATTGCACTTTATCATGCTTCACTAGATGCATAACTAATAGATCCAAGGAGGTGATACTTCCCTTCTATGCAGCGTTGGTCAGACTGCAGTTGGAGTACTGCGTCCAGTTTTGGGCACCGTACTTCAAGAAGGATGTTGATAGACTCAACAGGGTCCAGAGAAGAGCCACTCATGGTTAGGGGCTTACAGGACAAGCCCTATGAGGAGAGACTGAGGGACTGGACTTCTTCAGCCTCCGCAAGATGGAGGGGGATGCAGCAAGGGATCAGAGATGCTCTGTTCACCAGGACGCCTCTTGGGGTAACAAGGAACAGTGGTCACAAACTGACAGAGAGCAGATTTAGGCTAGATATCAGGAAAAACTTCTTCACGGTAAGGGTAGCCAAAATTTGGATTGGGCTTCTAAGGGAGGTGGTGCTCTCCCCTACTTTAGGGTTCTTTAAGAGAAGGCTGGATAGACATCTGGCTGGGGTCATCTGAC